CATTTTATTATCTTTCGCCTTTGGACCCTTTTTCCTTAAGCCAAAAATGCTGGACTGCTTACGTAAGTAAGAATATGTAAGAATGTAGAAAGCAGAACTGGACGCACGCCAGCGTAATTATCCCCGATAACTGTATTTGTTAAAATTAAGGGATAAATATTCAAGTATGTGGCAACGAACGAAGACCCATCCCAACCGTTCGTCCATGCAACATCTGCTGCTGACATATTCCATCTTTCCTAGAGCAATATCGAAAGAGAGATTAAAATGATATCCGTGATTTAATTTATTTACAACACTTGCGTAATTAATTTTTACAAAACAGAAATTTCACCAAATGACCACTTGAATTAACGAAGTCGATTAACAAAAGAACTTAAAAAACAAGAAAGCTTTTCTATAACAAAGAAAAAATTGAATTCAAAAGAGCAAAGGCAGTACCTTCACTAGACCCCCGAAAATGTTCACATCAACATCATTAAAAACGCATAGACACGTAGCTTAGCTTTTGATTGCGCAGAAATACCAAATGGTTTATGTATATCGAATGGTTTGAGAGCGTCGTTGAATCATATTTGCCAAAAAAAAATAAAAAAAATTCTCACTTGTTTTCATTTATATACTCGAACTTGCAAACTTTCAAAAGGATCCAGAAATAAATGATTTCACAAAAATGCTCCTACATACATCTTCCCTTTCTATGTACATACAAAGCTTGCGTTATGGACAAATGAAGTGTGTGAGCCGCTTTTCTCGGTATTTGCTCCGCATGCATATTTTCATCTACTTTTTATGTCTCTTTTTATTTCATTTTCCCTCTGCTGCGTCAATTGTTTGGCATTCGGTTTTTTTTTTTTTTATTTTACAACTTCCGCTCCATGCTGAGAGGTCAGTTGAATTGTGTGTGTAATAAGAGTGGCGCTGCAGCGGTCCTTTGTGCGCCAAAAAAAAAAAAAACCAGCATAGTCCTTGTATCGTGTCGTATTGTACGCCATTTTTCTGTGCCACTGATTGCTCCCACCACAGCACAAATGTACTACGAATCCACTCAGCTTTGGCCGCTTTGATTTGCTCCGTTGAAATATGATTTACGAATTTTTAACTTGTGCCAGCATATTTCTTCAATTCACTTCGGAAAATTACGTTCGCCGTTTAGCATTTCTTTTTTTATTTGCGAAATCTGTATTTTCTTTTCCTTGCCATGTGCACTTTTTCATCTTCATCTGCAAAGTTGGTGAAAAGGCCCTTTGCCGCAGTGGCCAGCAGCGCCATATGTTGTCGCGCCACATGGCGATCGAGCGCGAGCGATGTGTGGTGGGCATTGGATGGAGGGTGAGCGCGCAAGCAGGCGGACGAGCGGTCAGTAGCAAGTGGGCGGTACAGAGTGGTGTAACCAACCGGGTGGTAAACGCGCATGGGCTCATGTCGTTGTGTATGTGTGTGAATGGGGTCTAAATACTTGAAACCGTGATTTGCAGCACTTCGTGAGTGAGTGAGCGATGCCGCGCGCTCCTCTAGCGTATTGCGTGAAACTATAATTTGAAGGAACTGTGAAATGTTTTGAAGCTTTTGATTGACGTTCCTTTTTGATGTTTACAATTGTTTGTTTTATTACGTTTTCCGTTGTTTTCTCGCTTAGCTGTTCGCTTTAGTGCCGATAAATTAACCTTTTTACGCAGTTGACCACTTTTGTTGGTGTGTGTGATTTTTTCCGTTTTTCTACTGTTTGTAGTTGAATGAGAATTATTGTTTCTCTAAATTTTATATATGATGCACTTATCAACTTCAGCTAAAATCAGGAGCAGGGGGGCACCTATTTGAAAACTTAACAAAAGTGAACCCAATTTACGACTTCTTTTTTGTTTCTTTAACAGAATTTCTGGGAATTTTAAGATGAAGAAAAACTTTGTTTTTTTTTGCTTACAAACGCACACATGAGCCATATATGTATGTGCATACGCGTTCATACAAACATACACACCTACATACATACATACATATATCAGCTGAAGGGAGGAGCGCCCGTTGAAATGTCTGTGGCTTTGTGAGTGGAGAAATATTCCATTTTCATTTTATGCAATTTCTGTTTCTGACATTCACTTAAATGGAAACCTTTAAGGCGTAAAACTGCACTTTTCATAAAGTTGCAAAACACAAAATGCAAAACTTTTCAGGTGAATTGGATTTTTTTTTTGTTTGTTTCAGCAATGACAATGTATGTAGTTGGCTGAGATTAAGAGAAAATTAAATATTGTATTTTTCTGTTGGTTTGCAACAATTAATATACATAGCAGGTGCCACATATTTTATTGTACGATAAATTGCGTCCATTTTCTAGAATCTAACTGCAGTGATAACCTAAAAAGTATTTGAATTGGTAATCTGCAGCACTTAGAACTAATAGAATGATTCGAAAATATCAAAACTAATGTCATTGTTACCTTTTAATTATAATTTTTTAGTTCTTCGAAGAAGGCAATGAGACGAAAACCTAAATAGCATTGGAGCAGAGAAAAAGTTCCCAGGAGGACTTGGAGGTTCCATCAAATCACTGCAGTAGAGATTATAGATGCTCTTTATTGTTTGAAAATCTCTGGGTTCCGATACCATTCCAAACCGAGCACTCAAAGGTATCTCGAGAGTGAACTCGCAAGTCTTTACCGAACTAAATATGGTACGGCAGCGATTTTAGTCCCGCTACCTAATTCAAAGGAACACAATCTACTCTCCTCAACACAAAGTCAGAAAATAAAACAACTTTCCGGAACTAGCTAGCAGGGATGTGTAAATTCGATATTCGAAGCTTCGAGATTCGAATTTCGAACAAGTTTTAGCTTCAAAACGGCGATTTTTGGAATCAAACTTTGTGGTGCTAAAATTCGGATAAAATCGAATTTTTCTAGAAAAAAATCGAATTCCGTCTTTATTTGTAGAAAATAAACTGTGCTACTTTCTTCTTTCTAACTAAATTTGGTATCACTGAGTGTGGCACCACATTTGCCTTAGGAATGCAAGTCATACAAATGTCTTTGCGATCTACTGCATCGATGTAATATTTCACACAGGAGAGTTCGAAATACTCAATGGCGCAACAGGTCGATTTAATTTGACATTCACGGCATCTTTTCTCACTTGGCTATTTTTAGTAATAACAGCGCCACTTGGTAGCACTTCTTTGCAATAGTACTGCTCTTACCGTTGCCAATACATATTTTAAATATTAGCCAAATCGGATCATAAATAAGATTTTTAGTAATAACTCAACAACAGCGCCAACTGTGGGGTTAAACTGTAAAACTAAATCACCTAGGGACCCACTCAAACACAGACAAAAAATTTTGTTAAAATCCGGACACCCAATTAGTAGGATTTCCCCCCAAACACACCTACAGAAGAATTATTACTACATTCGAAGATAAGTAAAAGCCCCATTTTTCTCCATGAGTAAGCGATTTGTTTTATATATCTCCATACCAAGTTCCTGTACTCAGCCATGAACACTTCCTGAGGTATTCAGCGTGAAAAATTCGGTTTGTATGGGATGTGCCACGCCCCCTTTACCAATAGCTCTAATTTTCCTCCAAGAGTGTGCGATTGATTTCACATACCTCAATACCAAGTTCCAGAGCTCTACCATGAACACATGCAGTATGAAATAGTCAGTTTGTATGGGAGGTGCCACGCCCCCTTTCATCGAATTTTTTAGCCTATAACCATCCTTGGGACGTATGCGGCAGGTTTCCAAAAAAATCGGTTCAGGCGTTCTCGAGTTTTTCAAAATATATATTGGTATAGACAATAACAATAAGAGGCTATCAGCGGGAATCGATGAATGATGCTGGCTGATTATTCTGGGCCAGAATTCGAGTCCGCTTTAAGAAGGATTCTATAACCCATAGTTTGAAACACGGAGTAGCTTATAAGTAGAAAGTCAATACTCTGGCCACAGCGAAGGGTATTGAGAAAAAAAAAATAAAATCAACTCAATTCACTGGACTGAAAAACTAGGAATATTACGACGATTGTAGGCTTCCAGGTTAGTATATATTTTTTGCTGTATTATGGGTATTCATCTAAATGTTTACAGGCCTCGTAAAGGCGTAAACCTCGTAATGAAACCGGTTTTCCATACAAAATTAAGTAAGTCTACGAGGTTTACGTGGTTACGAGGCATTTACGAGTTTAGATGAATACCCCCATTGTTTCTTAGTTCTGGTATATTTTCCTAGTTTGAGAATAAAACCCTCTATTTTCGAATTTTAAGTATAAAAATTTATTCGCCTAAAACAAAAAAATTCGTTTCACAAATATTGCATTTCGACGTTATTCCTCAATACTTTGCTTAAGTTTAAATTCAATTGACTATGCATAAAATATGTACACACATATAATATTTTTGTATAAAACTTTAAAAAATCTACATAAACACTTAAAACTGCTTACGAATAATAATCTGCTCTCATTTTTGTGTCGTAAAAATGACTAGTGAAATAAATTTGAAAAATAAGCTTTTAAAAATATATTTCCATCTTACAAGAAAATTTTTATTAAAACTAATCAAATTAACAACTAGTTAAGTCTAAATGTAAGAGTAATGGAAGATCCCCGCACATACAAAAATAGAGTTTCAGATTATGTACATATGTATGTGTGTGTACTTAGTATATATGCATACGTACATATACAATTATATATATAAATATCTGTATATATGAAAATATCTACGTACATATGTATGTACAAAAATTTAAAAGTAGTTGAATTTGGTTTTTGGACAATAACAGTACATTTTGGTTTTGTCGCTGCAATTTGTGTTTCATAATTTTCCAAAAATCAAACATTTTTACAAACTATTGTACTTATGTATGAATGTAAATATGTGCTAGAATTTCGCAAGGTTTAGTCTCAAAATTTTTGTCACATCTTTTAAATTTATTGAGTCTATTTCATATTCTTTGATTAAAATTTGTACAAATTCCATTTCCATTTATTACCAAAAATATGTTTTTATTCACTTTTAACAGTACGCTGTCTGTCTGTCTGTCCGTATGCAAGTGCGTTGCGGTTCGTTTGCCTGTATGTGAATATTTGCGCACTTAAGCTCAACTATGTTTACCACTAACCCTGGAAAGTCGCTTAGTATATGCATAAGTAGAGTAGGTATACGTAAAGGAAGAAATAGAAGAAAAGAGAAAAGCTAAACACCGCACTATATGTATGTATATGTAGTTGTGTACATACAATACCAACTTCAAGTTCCTAACTAAATATGAAATTGTTGAAAAATTAGAGCTAAAACGCACTAAAGGCTGCAGACTCACGCTCACAAAGAGTCACACACAAAGAGAGAAAACAAACAAACAGCTCATCCAACAAAAAGTATTTGAAAAATTCAACTCAAAGTCACTACACTTAAACTAGAAACTCCTACGAAGCAATAACTTAAATCACATGTTCTTGTTTTTGTTGTTGTTATCATCTTCGTTGTACGCCATTTCCTTATTTAAATATACGACACACACGCTCCTCAAAATACATACTTATATACATACATACCATAATTCTCATTCATAAATAATTCTCACACTTGACTTAAAAAACTACGAAATTAACAACTAAATTCGAAAGACGATCACTCAAACGTATGTATGTACATGTGTGTGTGTGTGTGTGTATGAGACTCGATTGATGGATCGTTCAATTTCACTTCACTTGCTGGCGAATACTATGAACTATTATTCGTCATGATCGGTATCGCATCCTCTGTGTCGTCCAACAAGTCTCCCGGCACCGTCTTCAGCAGCGTATAGCTGTCGCGATGCATGAATTTGTGCTGATGCTGCGCGATGAAGCTGCTGCCGCGCCGCAATGAACGGCGACCCATCTCCAGAATCTCCAGGGTGGGATCGCGCGCGAACACGAAGTTTTGGTAGGCACGCACGAAGATAAACACAATGGCGAACGCGCCGCCAAAGATCATCAGATACGAGGAGATCGGTATGATGATGGGCGCGAATACGGTGGCCAAGTAGATCCACCGACGGATGGCAGGCGTTAGCTCGGAGATGCCCTGAAAAGGTGGACATGTTTGAACGAAATCGAATACAAAAATAAGTTGTGTATAGAATGTCATAGCTATGGTGTGTAGGAACAGCTCAAATGACTCGATTACTAAACGTTTGAAGCATTAAACGCCGTAGATATAACTATGTACATATGTATGAGTGATGAAGCGAAGCGATACGTGAGAGGTCTCTTCAAAGCTTACTTCTTCTAGCCACATGATGGGAAACACAAAGTCCCGAAAATCCTTAACCGGATACACATCTTTCGCTCGTGTCACCTTGAGATTGAGTTGAATGCGTACTTTGCCTTCGAGTGGAACACCCAATTTCTGAAGGAAATCAGAGAGTATTTACTAGGAAAGAATCAAATGACTTGTCTTTTGGACGCTTTTTACTCACCGATTGAATTTTGAAGTATGTTTCATGTACGCTCTTATTCGGTTTGAGTCCCACTACCGAGTCCAGCAACGACTGATCGGCTTGGTAAAAATGCGGATTGGATATATAGACAGGCGCACCGTATTGGCAGGGACTGATATTTTGTAGTCCTTTCTTCGCCTCGTAGTCACTTGGATTGAAGCATTCGTTTTCAGGGTTCTTCGAGGAATCGCCGTAAGAATTCTCCGGCAAGATGTACAGATCAGCGCCGATGCCTAAATATTTGCAAGCACACATACATACATACATTAGTGTCCAAGAATAGGGCACACTTACCATCTTTTTGTACGCCTCTTTGGTACTGCAAAGGTATGACGCGGCACAAATCCTTGTCGTAGAGGTAAACCATATCCGATTTTGTTATGTCGCGCGGTGGAAAGAAGGAACCTTCCGAGGCGGCTATACGATTGCAGGGTGGATTGTGCCAGTGCGGTAAGTGATCGAGTCCATTGAGGCGATCTATGTAACCGAATTCTTCCATGCCATGGTGTCCAGTTTTGATTGTTGAGACTTCGGTTAGTGTGCCATTGCGCTGCATAAGGAATCGATGAAGTTATTAGTCGAGCATTAAGATCTTTTTTTTTTGCTTACCGCAATGAGCAGTCCCATACGCTCCATTGGACGCAAATGTTTTGGATAAAATCGATGCGCAAGGCTAACGAGCGCGTCATCATAGCCAAATACCAACTGATCGGCGGTCACATTGATGAAAGGCTTGAACTTGGCTGCTGTTAGCACCACAGAAATGGTCTTTGAGAGCAGGTAACCTAGTTTTGGACTGAGACTAGTAAGAGTCTGTGGAAGAAGAACGAAGTAAGCGATTGCATGTATTTAGAAAATGTATTATTTAACTAACCAATAAAGGAATATTAGGTGTGACTATCGGAGTATTCTTGTCTATGCTCAATTCGGGAACGAATTGTAGAATTTTCTTGTGCTGATATGACACTGTTTGATTGTCGTAGAAATGTACATTCACCTTCTGCATGTCTTCTCTGTAATTGTGAAAGAAGAAATAGAAAACACAGTTATTGTTCGCATAGCATAGGATTATTAACAAGCGATTTTTAATCAAAAAACACAACCAACATCGATGGTCATAAAAAAATTTAGGAGTACCGCTAGTTCGTTGTCGATCCTCGCTTTCCGTAATGCCACTTTTTCAAGGGACCAAGTGAAGATTAAACTATATGCTGGCGAAGAGATTATATGGATTGTCGGGATTCTTGAAGTATATCGATTTAGTTAGGCGAGCTTTAATGGAGCTGGGCCAGTTGCGCTTACCAGCCTCGTCGCCATTTCAATAGCAAATATCTCAGCCAAATATATGCTGCAGCTAAGTTCCTGTCCCAGTGTCTATTCTGGAGCCATATTTAAAGAACGGGATCTCGTAATCACTTAGAACGATACCAAATTCCCAGTAACTTCTGTCGGGAAAGTAGATTTCGAAGTTGCGGCTAAAGGTAACATTCGTCATTTGTTAATCGTAACTTCTGTACTTTACCCCAACTTTGTTCAGAATCGAAGTTTGGCTCCTGCCACTTGTAGGCAGACTTTTAGATGGCCCAAACCTAAGGCACTTTAGCCCACCACAGCGACACGTTATAGGAAAGAACATACCTATCGCCGCACAGTTTACGATTTGGGAGTGTCAATGGACAAAACCGTAAATATCTCGATAGGAAAAAGATAAAAATATGGAACAATATGAGTTAAAAAGCTGACCTACGAGAGAAAATAGCGTAATCAAAAAATCATTATATTCAAACCCCCGAAAAAATTTACTGAAAAATTAACTTAAAAAAAAAAATGTATACTCTACTGGCCAACAAAAAAATCAACCGATATATTCAAATTTGTTGTCAAAAGTTGACTAAAAAGTCTTTTAGATGCTAATTTTTTCAAATGCAAAGTTGCGTCTAAATTTTCAGCTTTTTAATCAGATTTTTCAGAATTTGGCCTTTTCCAACAGCGATGGGTGGGACAACGATGACACCCGCCTCTCTGAGTTTATGGATTCGTTCCTCAATTTTAGACAAACTATAAATATTTCATTCATAGCGCCATTCTCATATGTAGTTAATGCTCGATTTTATGCTTTGATGGCATTTTTATGCTTGAAAATTAAAAAAAAACCACTTCTAGCTTGCGACGGTTGAGACAATATTTTGTGACGGGTGGGAAAAGTAACTTTTGAGCATGATAAAAACATAGCAAGGTAGAACCGTTCTCTCAATTTGTCGGCCATGATTTTTTTTTTGAAGTTTGCCAACATTTTAAAATCATATAAAAGTGAAAATGAAAAATTTAAATGGTTCGAAATTGTTGTTGCTTGAGATTGAAAATGAAAATGTGTGTGTGAGTTTGTGAGTAAATTTAAAAATTAAATTGTTTGGAAACGTCAAGAATTTTAAAAGAGACTCTCAGCGGTTCTACCTTACTATATTTTTATCATGCTTTTGAGGACACAGTTCGTGAGTAAAATGAAAACTACTCGTTTGATAGAAAAAAAATTTCGAATTTACTTTGTATGGAAGGGAATGCGATAAAAAAAAATTTCACTTTATTATACTATACTCAACAAAACTCTGAAAAATCTGATTAAAAAGTTGAAAATTTAGATGCAACAACTTTGCAATTTAAAAAATAAGCATCCAGAAGATTTCTTAGTCAGCTTTTGACAATAAATTTGTATTCTTCGGTCGAAAATCGACAAGGAAAGTGCATAAAACCAAACACCAACATTTTTTTCTTCGAGCTAGCCAGCAAAGTATTAATTATATTCCGAAGGTTAATTTTTCATCCAAGTTTTTGAGGGGTTTTTATATAATGATTTTATAATGGAACTACTTTTTCCTTGTAGGCCATTATGGCAGCTTTCGAACCTACATTTTTCCATATTTTTATCTCAAATGTTGAGTTGACCCTGGCTTGAACCCAGGCCCTGCCGAATGGTAGCGCGCACTGTTAACCACTACACCACAGCAGCAGCTATACCCATTACATTATCTTCGGCCATAGCCCCCAGTCTTTTCCCCAATTGTACTCTTGCAGGCGTGGAGTGCATTGAGCGCTTGCCTTCTTCCTTCTCCGCTCTGCAATATCTATTTTCCAGAAAAACTTAAGGTCGAGACTGACCCGCTTCAAACATGAAAAATTTGTACCTTGTGCTATAATAGCAGATAAATACATTTTTTTGTATGTATTTATATACATCAAAACTACAACACAATGCGCAAGTGCTGCCAAAGTCAAGGTAAGTCACTCAATGTTTGTGACTTGATTTATGCAATCGCCGATCGCAGTGTTTGCCTAATTCAATGCATCAAAGCCGTTAACCCACTATTTATTCACAGGTACTGTGTGGTTCATCACACAATAAGTTGAATGTCAAGTTCACCACTAAACAGCAACAGACTTCATCATTCACCATGCACGCTGATGCGATGCTTAGGCTCAAAGGTGCGGTGCGGAAATTCCCATATTTATTTACAATTGCTTTGCTCTTCAAAGATCTGTTTAGTTCCGTTGCCGCTGCTGTAGCTATTCGAATTTGTGTCTACATATTTGTTGTTGCTTTTGCTGTGGTTGTCTTGTGTAGAGGTAAGTGTAAATTAAATCTAATCACGCATTTCTATATTCAAATATGTACGTATTTATTATTGTTTACACTCGCCTATTGTCAGCTTTTGTCAGCGTTTTTGTCTGTGTTTTTGAGCATTTGTCATCTAAACTATCTCTCTGCTCGTTTTGTCTGACAGTCATACATATACATATTTAGTGTTTGTTTTTGTGTCGCTGATACTTGGCTGCGGTTTTCGTCTTATTTCTTTTTTTGTTCCTTTTTTTCTGTCTTTGACGTTTCAAGTGCGACGTCACTTTTCATTCATCATTTAGGCGCTACCGCATCATAAAAATATTTGATGTTGTGACGTACCGCCAGTGTAACCGCCCCATTATGCCGGTGACAAATGAAAGAAGTTACCCATTTACCTGTGGTTAAATACTTTTAGTGCCGCCTGTAAAATATTTTACGAGTTTACCTTTTTAATGTTACAAAAAGTGTATGCAACATTTACGTGTCAAGGTTTTTACTGACACTTTAGTAACGTGAGGGTGAGGAGATCCAAGTGAACAGAGGGGAGTTCACAAGACCAATTTTTTAGAAGCATAAGTCGTTCAACTAAATAATGATATGATTCACCTCGATTTGAGGATAACGATGCTTTGGGTATGCAAGTTTATCAGTACGCAAAGCTTTAAAATCCTTGATTTGTGTGAAAAAAGCACACTAAATTTTGCATGAGAAGCTCGACCAAGAGACCGAAACGTTATCGCCAAATATCCATACATACACTTTCACTAATGTGTGTGTGTGCATGCACATATGTATGTACCCTGCAGTGAAAAGCCAAATCAGTCAGCAAAACTACCAGTTCATTAACTAGTATATGCTAAAGCGATTGTCCTACCAGTTCGACGATTTCGAAGAACTTAAGCATTCAGCGACATCTGCTTTGAATTGCCAAAGCCAAAAATAAAACGCAATTCATCGCTTTTCTTACAAATGTCGGCTGTGGCGTCGCGTGTAAACTACCGGTTTTGGTTCTGAGATCGCCGGTTCGAATCCGGTTCAATTACAAATTTGAAACTCTAATTTCATTTCATAAAAAACATACATGTAGAAAGAAATACTTGCGCCATAAAACAAGTTCAAGTCAGGCGCAGGGAAAATTTTTTTTAAATTATTTATTTTATTTAGGTTTTTATTGTAATTTTTAAATTTAATTAAAATTAAAATAAATTTAAAAAATAATAAAAAAGATTTCCCTGCGCCAGGTCTCGAACTTGGACCTCTGGAATACCACGCCAGTGCTTTGCTCTGTCAGCCATTGCGACTGTTGAAGCGTCGCGAGCAAAGTGGCATACTTATGCTTTTCACGCGGGATGAATTGGCAGACTATCTCATCAACTGGTATGATGCTACTAGTATTTCTGCAAGTAGATGCTGATGCATAGCCTGACATTTGACATCTCGTAGGACATCGCCATGTAAAAAATACCAGTCGCTTAACATGAAAAGGGATGTAACGAGAAAACGAGTTGCGCTGAAACGCAAACTGGTAGAATGCTAGTTCACAACTAGTAGCTTTCCCTGCCGGGTATCTACACACATTTGTTCTAATTTTAAAATCACGCGTATAACATATTTATGTATGTTTGTGTGTATGTGTGTATATCCCAAATAAAAGCTTTTGTTGTTGCTTGTTGGATGTTGATACTGAAGTTATGAGAGTTTTCATAATTGTTTTACTCAAATCTGAACCTCGCCCATGCGAACGGGAAAGAAGAGAAAAACTACAAAATTTTTATAACAAATCGTTTTAACTTTTAGCGCAATAAATTAAGTTTTCAACGAATAAAAATATATAAATAAATAAAAACATTGCTGGGGTAGTAAACGTTTTAATCCACTTGATATGGTTCAATTCTAAAACGTATGTAGTATAAATATGAGTTAGACGAATAAAAAATTAATAACTCACTTTATTGCTAACAGTATGGCATAAGTGGCTTCAATTAAAAAAAATAAATGTGATTTTACGTCTACGTTAAACGCACGAATCGCTTGAATTATCATTTTGTATATTTACTATGTAAACTGCTCTGATATTATATATAGATGAATATATTATTTCGCATTAGCAATTATGGCAAAGGAAACTTTTCACGTTTGAATTTGCTGAACTTTGTTCCATTGAGGTGATTTACTTACGCACAGATATTTTATATAACTTTTTTTTTTTTTTTGAGTAAATTTTATTCAAAATAAAAAGCATTTGAAAAAGCCTTGTAAATTAAGATTTCTTTCCGTAAACAAATTAGTTACTTAATAAATCATTTAATGATAATATCTTAATTGTCTAATCATACCAGATCTAAACAGCCGCAATTGTGGCTCGTAAAAAAACATCAATTAAAATAAACGCACACATATACACATATCTATGTATGTAGATAAGTATCTAGAAAAGCGATAGAAAACTCTTACCAAAGTACACAATTGAGGACGTCAATCATTTAAAAATTAATTGCTTATTGTACATAACTGTCATAACTGACCGGATAACGGTAGCAACTGTACACCAAATAGAAAGCTAATACCTGCGGAAATTCAAAATGAAAGTCACTAGTCGAAATGTCTGAATGGCAAGTGAGGCGCTCTTCCGATTTGTGACGGATGTGGTGTGGCGGATGTGGGCATGCCAGCTCTAGTAAACTAGTCTTATGACAAAAGAACGTCCTAGAAGCGACGCTTAAAATCCAATGAGGTTGTTTTTTGTACACAAATAAGATTTTTACTCTTAGAAAATATTTTTAACAAACATATATTTATTTACATTAATTTTTGTAAGTCTCTTTTCCTGTCCACTTAAAATACTATTCATCATTTATTGGCTTTCACAGCTTCATTTTTGTGATTAAAATTTATTAATGTATGTAGTTATGTTTTCAACAACAATTAAAAATAATTTTTAACCTATTATCGATTTAACGCTTTATTTATATTAAAAATTTTGTATTCACAAATGAAACAATTTATTGCCGCTTAATAAGGCGTGCCTAATTTCTGTAGGGCCGGAATGACCTTGGAAAGTTAATTGGAGTTCAATGGGTAGCAATAGGACAGCTAACGAGTGGCGGCAGGCATGACTCATTTAAGTCTAATCTTGCAAATTTGAGGCCGTTTTTTTTGTCAAATTTGTTGTGCCTCAGAATAAGTTGGAAAATACTTTGGCAATTATTTACCTGAAATAGAGGTGCTTTCCATACCAAAAATTTTACTTGCCTGATTTTTAATGGCAATGTGGCTATAAAATAATGTTTCAGTTGAGAATAGAATAATATTGATGCAATTATTATAATAAAGCAGAATGGTTTATCGCTTTATCATCCAAAATTTTTAATACATATTTTTCCACAATAAGTTTTCACTTAAAACGGCCTCAAGCTCATAAAAATTGTTGAATATAATTGTTATAAGGCCATAAAATAACAAAAAAACATATAAAAAATGATTGAAAATTATTTGATATGGAGAAAATAAGCGACACCTTCTATGAACAAATTTGCCAAAAAGCTAAAAAACTGCATACTCAACTTTTTTCTAAAGAGTGTAAATAAAACGTGCAATTTTCGGATGAAAATTTGCAGTATTTCTTTAATTTTGCACAAGGTTTGCGGTTTTTGTTGTAGAATTAAACATTTTTTTTATAAAAAAATAACGAAAAATAAAATATTAAAAAAGCAGTTACCCGTATTGCGAAAAATTCTCGGTACCTACACTTTAGTGACCGACTGTGGTACACTAAAAAAAAAAAGTTGTCATCAGGACGATGCTATTTAGCCATCAACGTGAAACTTTCGAGTATCTATTTCTCCTCATTAATCATCTTATCTAAATGATATTTTTCGTTCTTACACTGAACAAATTTCCGTTGTTAATTGAAACCAAAATGACTATACAGGTCTCAATTTGATATTGTGAAGGGTAAAAATTGTGTTTTTTCTCATCAAATTAATAACCAATATTTTTCAATATACTTTTTGTATTATTAATTAAAGTTTCATTTTAACACAACGCTTATTATGATGGTTTTTTTAAGTGTATTTATTTAAAATAATTTTCAGTTGCTTTCTGAATTTTTCTGTAACTTTCGAGTTCAACCCTATGTTTTAAGGTACGTTAATACAAAGCAAATATTACCAGTCAGAACATATTAGACATACTTTTTCCCTAATTTTTGCGAATAAAGCAAAAGCGTTTGCTGTACGCGGTAGTCTAGTGGTCAGAGCTGCATTATACCCAGGCTCGATTCACACTCCAAGCACTTTTATTTAGTTATTTATTTATTTAAAATTTTTATTTTATTTTATTTAAACATTTTATTTTATTTTTATGCTTTACGTTAATTTACATACTTAAAGTTAAAAAGACCACAAAAATTATTATTGTATATGTATCTTTACAAAAAAATAACATTACAAATTTAAGGAACTAAAAAAATAAAAATAAAAAACTTTTGCTGGTTGTGAGACTCGAGCACACCCACCATCGGCTCGCTTAATCTGCAAAACAGATCAGATCAGATGCGTCGTGAATCCGGATTAATATTGCCGCCTGTCTATACTAAGATTGCTCGATAATCATGATCACGCCTAAAATAACGATTATATCCTAGAATTGACTTTAAGCTTTATTCAAGGGCTCTTACGCTTTAATTTTAAAGCTTTCCATGTCAAATGATCTCGGATGACAAAGGGCCTACATACATTGACATCAGTGTTTTATTATTTTGTAAAGTTTACGAGATTTACGTGGTTACGAGTCATTTATGCATTTATATGAATTGCCCTAATATGATTTTTTATAAGTTAAGAAAAAGACATTGACAGAGGCATTAAATGAAATTTTACTTTTACTTGATTCGCTCTTAAGCGTATTTAGTTGGCACGAAAACCATTCTTGCAAAATAGTACTTATTTATTTGTAGTAAACAATTGCATTTGCGAATGCCAGTAGGTATGAAGTATTTTATTTATTGCAAAATCCATTGCAATTTTAATTAACCCGATTTTATTTTGTTGTTGCATGTTGTGACGATTCGTGCTTTCTGCGCTATTAACTTCTTCAATAATGCAAGCTGAGCACTTTTTTATTTGTTAAAATTTTCAAAAAGTTTCAGCGGAAAGCAGAAAGTCAGCGAAAAATGCATGTATGTACATATGTATGTATGTGTGTAAAAGAAAAAAATCGCAATAGTCATTTCGCTTATAATTGCATTTTAATAACTAGCACTCTAAAAAGCAGAAATATTTAGGTAGAGAGGATTGGCCATTTACCCAAATTGACAAACCGGCATTTGAGCTTTGCTTATGCTCAGGCAATTGGTTTAATTGAATGGCTTGGTGGGTTTGAGCAGAGAAGCGTGACAACAGAAGCCGAAACAAAATTTTGGCATTAACAAAAAAAAAAAAACATATATATTTGATTTGAAATAGAAGATGGTTTTCTCATAACAAATTTAATATTATTTACATGCATATGTAGTTAGAAGGAAAATAAATATCCAAATATTACGTACTATTTATTTTAATGCCATTAAAAAGCAGTTTTAGGTAATTATTTCCCAATTGGCATATGCTCTACATATAAGGCCCATGACAATAGGATTAAATTAAAACGCGGTTTTCTAAAATTTAGAATTATACTATATATGTATGTATGTAGTTAACTTACCTATAAACGAATGGCCCCACTTCCGTTAAGCTCGGCTTTTCCCCATTCAGGAATTCATCTGGATTTGTGACATTATATATATAGACTTTAGTTAATCGTATGACACCAGGCCTCTGCCAGTAATGAAAACTTAACGTATCATTCCATAGCCTTAAATTCTATAAGTAAATGTAATAAGACAAATAATATCAAAATTTGATTAATTTGGTATACAATTAAAATTGAAAAAAAAGAGATGCCGATCGATTGAGTTGCAAACACTTAATTCAGTTATAAGCTAATAAGATTTCTTTGAACACACAAACACTTGCACAAGTAATTTTTAGGCAAAATACAAAACCGACTTCAATTCTCATATAAAAATTTAAAAGTACCGTTAATTTCTCTTCCATCTCTTTGGTACCAAGTTTCCTTTAAAAAAAGTATTATAGGAACCGGTTAACGTGGTCCAAAGTTAAACGGTAGCATACCACATAAAAATTAAATAAAAAAAAAAATATTCCGACGAATTGATAACCGCCTCCTTTTACATACACACATAAAAAAAGAAACAAAAAAAATATTCCGACCAACTGATAACCTCATCCTTTTTTGGAAGTCGGTTAAAAAAGACAACTCGTGGGATTTGCTCGTACATACATGCATATGTATGTAGAATTCTTTGAAGTTTTTAATGTTCATAAAGATTTAGGAGGATTTGTTTAGTTTCGAAGGTTTTTTCTTTTAAAATGTGACGCGATTATAAAAACATGTAATTTTTACTTGATCTGGCATCGATATTTAAGAATGTATGTATGTATATTAATCTATATATTGATCTGCTGACTTACCTTTAATATAAAATAATCAAGCCATGGTATTGTTGATAGCATTATTCCTAAAATTAATGTTACTATTCCAATAATTATCACAGCTAGTCTATCTGAAATTAAATAAAAAAAAAAATTATGAGCAATGGGTTAAACAAAGCAACCAAATGTAAAATTAATTAATTTATGTACATAATTTCGTATTTTATTGATAAATTGAATATCATTACTTGACTGATTTTCTTCGTTTTTTTTGCATGTTTCAATAGTTAGATACTAAGAGTGCTTAAAAATTTTTTGCACATACCAATGGATAAGCCTTGTGTTAACCCGTAATGGTGACACCTACAAAAAATGCGTAGTTGTCAAACGGGGCCCGGGGGACCACAAGTAATGCCACGTAATGCATTGACTTGAACCCTGCACTTTACCGAAGTTTAAAACTTATTTTTTATAATGTGTTGTGATTTTTTCCAATTTTTAATTATAATATCGGGGAAAACGGAAATAAAACTAAATTTAAATTATTGACTATTTTCACGAGTAACTTCATAAAAATGTTAATTTCTGCTATATGCCAAAACAATTGTATCATTGTGTTGAAGAAAGACTTAGAGGATTCCCACTAAGCGTCGTAATATCTTAAGTATTAAAATGTCTCTTTGTCAAATAACGACTAAAATGGTTTTAAGGGATTTCTAGCTACACCGATAACCGGATAATGGAAAAACGTGCCTCGAAGTCCCAAAGTTCAGAATATTCATGAAATTTATCAAAAAGTGGTAAAAGTAGGCTATAAGGCAGTTGGCCCTTTATGGGTATATTTTTATGGCACTTTATGTGCTTTTGCTTACTGAATATATGTAAGTATGGACAGAGTGTCCACTATTTTGAAAAGCAGAGAAATTTCTGAAGGCGCAGCAAAGCCAAAAGCTTTATTATAAAATTATCTATAAAAAATTTGATTTGATTACTTAAAGTAATTTTATGAATGAAATGGAACTAACTCTCTGTTCAGAGGGTTAAGTTCGGCATTCGACTTGACCCAATCAAATTCGCAACAACGCCAGCTGTCCATTCCCGATTCACATTCGCCTGGTTTATAGCTTTTAGCTGAGTTAAGTGTGAACGGATGTTGTCACAAGTCGATTGCACATACATATGTACACCTATGTGCATTCATAGCAAATACATATCTGGACAATAAACGGAAAGTGTTAATTGAAGGCAACAAAATCTGTAATGTAAGTGCAATGTGTACTCGTAAATACTTAAGTGTCTAGTACTGCAAAATAAAATATATGTACAAACAAATGTGTGTACATATTGACATACGTATGTATGTATGTACATTAGCTTGGGCCGAAAATCCGCTTTTTTAGAATTAATATGGTTCATTATGCTTAAAAAAAAATCTGTGTGAAATTTGGAATTTTTTGGTCAATATCCTAGGCTCGCCCAAGTCCATTAAAGTTCAATATGCTCAAAAAATAAAAATTAAAAATTAATTAATTAATAAATTTTTTTTACTAAAATTGCAATAATCGTCGAAAGAGTATTAGTCCTCCATAATTTGGTATATGGACCTTTTTTGTAGAGAATCGAAGTTAGATAAGAAACAATTTTTTTAGTACTTGAACTTTGCTTGACTTGGGCGAGCCTAGTATATTGACCAAAAATTTTCACTTTTCACACAAATTTTTTTTTTAGAGCGTAATGAACCAAATTTTTGCTATTACCAATCGCAATACTAAAAAAGCGGATTTTCGACCCAAGCTAATGTACATATGTACATATTTAGATGCATATAAAAAGCTGACTTTACTAAGATGGGCGATGCTGTGCCGTTGGGAACTTTGGGAATTCCTGCTTAATATATAGTAAACGTGAATGGCGTGACGTTGTGAACTTGCACACATCCGTACATATGTATGTGTGTATATTAGGGTGGTCCAAAAATGCTTGTAAAAAAGTAAAGTCGGAATTTTTATGCTCTCACCCCTAGGATTGTTCTATTCCAAAATATATACCCCAATTTTTTTTTTTTTGAAATCAAAGAATATTTAGAGGTCGCGCAAAGTGCCCAAAGATTTCCATGTATTTTATATGGGGAAAAAACAACTTTTTGTAGAAATGGTATAGAATTCTTAAAAATCAATGTCTTTCTCTCGGAAAACTCTTCTATCTGCAGGAGATTCCCAATAGTAATACCCAATAATTTATTTATCCATTGATTTCAAAATAAGAAAAAATAGGGGTATAATTTTTTTCGATATAGTACAATCCTAGGGGTGAGAGCATTACAATTCCGACTTTACTGTTTATGGACCACCCTAATGTACATACACCTGCGCTTATGCACGATTCGATATGCATGTACATATATGTACGTATGTAATACATTGCTTTATTGCCCTGTTGATTGCGTAATCGAATAAACTGTGCCGCTGATGAAAACTCACCACAAGGACTACCCCTCTCAGCATTGAGCCGAGTGAAGTGTGTCGAAATTTGCCACAATTAAACTATCAATTGATTTTGAGGCTTAGAATTCTTGAATGGAGTTACATATGTACATATATATGTATTTATGCACATTTGTGATTAAGCTTTAAGCACTATTAAGCCAGATAAGCCTTAACATGCGTGAGGATTCTGACATTAATGATGGCAATGCCGAACATGGATTTCATTTCATATCTACATACATATCTTTTTACACTGAGGTCAGAACTGATGTATAAGAAAGTATTTCACTTTTTATAAAAAAAACAAAGCTTGAGATATTCTTTCGTGAGCGAATATGCCTTAAATGAATATTTTTGCAATTAACTCCCATCGTTTCTTACCCAATGACCAAATTTTCACCTGTACCAACTTAGCGGGCAAATTCGTATAGAGCACAAAAGATTCCTCACATTTCTGACAGGTGATGACGTCCACCCAAATATTTGTATTTTTATAATAATTGCCAAGTTGCTTGTCTGTTGTCTGTTGTTGTTGTTTCGGTTGTTCTTGTTGTGCTGCTGCGGCGGTCTTAGAGCAAAGACTGCAAATATAGCTGAGCAGTGAGCGCATCGCATTTAAATGCGCTGTCTTATTGCCCCGTAGAATCATGAAGCACTCACTATTGCACACTTTTTTTTTTCTAACCTACGAATGTTTATAATTTTTTTCTAGCCGTTTTGCAATACTTAAAAGAAATCATCAATTGCATGTGCAAAATATGCACAGTGATTGAGGAGGCATGCACAAATACAATCCGATCAATTGCTATAGGCACAGCTTGAAAATGCAATGTCACTTCACCGTTTTATTTGTTTGCATGTAGACGTAAGCTAAATATTTTTAACATGCAAAGCGTATGAGCACAGCTTCTAGAGGAAGTTTACAATAAAATGTTTAAATTATATTATATTTATTTTACTTAAAACACGTAAACTTATAAATAATTGTGACACAAATTTCAATTAAATCACTTCAATCGCTCAATTGTATAAAATCCGATTGATTTATTAACTTTTTTTTCACTTTCAATTATGATTTTTTTTCTTCTAATATTCCAGCACGTGTATGATTTTGTGTAATGAAGTTGGTTGTTGAACTTCACTCGGTACTTTCAAGCCTTGCGCGCACAGCTGCAACTTTCATTTAGAAACTGATTCAAAGCCACTTCAAACTTTCAACGTGTGAAGTTGTTGAGTGAATACCATAATGTCGCCTTTCTTCGGTTCGTTCTTAGAGCTAGCTGTGCATTGGCTTTATTGCTTACTTGCTCAATTGTTTGTGTTTATGCGAATATGCTACATAGTATATGGAAATTTTCGAAATTTTTCACTTGCTACTGCACTTTTTATTTCTGTTCGTTGGTTTGGTATTCTTTGAGGCCCATAATTTGTTAAGTCAGCATTACGTACATATTTTCATATGTGTGTTATCGAAAAAAATTAACTTTGGAAAAGTGTAAAAATTGCAAACTTTGCATTTTAGTCGACTATATGGAACATTCTGTGCAGAAGAAGCATAAGCATTCTGGTGAAAGTGTTCACTTCAATTTATGTAAAGAGAATTTTTGCAAAGTAGAGTAACCGAGAACTCGGAAATATACATACATATACGATTATAGTACATACATATGCATGTATGCATATTTTAGGGATGATAACGGTCATTACCTTTAATACTGAATTTCTGTTTTTCCGATCAAATTTAACCGTTATTTTATGAAATATACATATATTTTCGATCATGAATAATTTTTATTGCATGAATTTAATTTTTAGATTATGATCGTACCGTTATTTTCAGATTAAAATTTTTAGATCATAAAAGTTTTAAAACGGTCATAAAATCGCAGTCTCCATTATAACGGTTATCGGTTCGGTTAGATTATCGAAAAAAAATTAAAAAACGATTATTTTTCATTGAAAAAAAATCAAAAATTAACGATTAAATTTGACCAAAAAAAATTTAAGCCATACTATATCGATTATTCTTTAATGAAAAAAAACGATTGTGCAAAGTTCTCAAAATAAAAAACGTGGTTCTTAAAGGTTATTTTCGGTGACTGGGATATTTATACACATACAGTGGGAAGCAGTGAGTTGAATTTTTCTAAGTTCCGTATAAAGTTTAAAAATTTGATTCATATGGTTACTATTATAAAAAAAAAAAAAAAAAAACAAATTCAACTTTAAAAACCTTGAAATTATTTAACAAAAATTACCATGCATTAAGTTTTGCTTACCACTGTATATTTATAATCAATGGCACAACATTTACATGTCCATAAGGTAAGTAAAGAGCATTTGAAGAAATGCCTGCTTGCAGTAATTCATCTCCAAGATTAATATTTTACTTGAGTGATGTTTAAAATCTCCCAAGTGGCGCCACATGAGAAGAATTATAATGACGAAATTTGACAAAAACCCAAAAGAGGTGACTGAAGAGCGTGAGGCATTGGCAGGCTCGAGTGAAGCCTGAAAATCCTGGTTTTGAATTGCCCTCTACTCAACCAAGACGAAAAAAGTGACTAAGCCAGCGATGAGGCCAGCGATGAAGAGTGGTAAGATCCATGGTCTGATTGGAACCACAAGTGTACATTCCGAGTGCA